CTTTCAGTTAATAAATAATAATACATTGTTTACATCATTAATTAATATACTTAGTTTTATTTATGTTGAGACAATCATCTCTGCTTGATAAATATGACATTTGCCTAATAAAATAGAAAATTGTTAAGGATAGTCACTAATTGTGCCCTTAATATTCTAAACATTACCCACATGATCCAATCATTGCACAGTGTGAACAGGAGCAGGTAGGAGAGCTGGCAGATTATTTAACTCACCTGAGCGTTCATCCTCACATCCGCTGCTGTCTGCACAGATATAATACAAATGTCTTCCTCTGGTGAAAAAAAACTATTATTCAAATCCTCCTCACAGTCAACACTGGATTTAAATTGTTGCTGGAAACGCAAATATATTCTAATAAAGTCCAGTCTGTGTTCGGGTCATTTCTCCTTCGGCCTTTCTCCTGTCCTGAGAATAGATAATCCTATTAAGAGATCCACAGTCAGAGCAGCCCTCTGCCCCAAGAGGCTCATGGGTAGCCGTGGATCTACCTGTGTTATTATCTAAACAAATGCAGTTCATTTTCCTCGCAATGTATAAAACACAACTCCAAAAGACCACAGGATAATCCCACCTAATAAGGAGGCGTTGTTTAATGGATTATGTGTTATTGTTTTGTGATTTACTTCATGATTAAATGCCCTTGTATATATATACATTTACATCACAATCCATGTGTATAATTTTCCTTATGTATTTTTGTGCTGTGTCTATGGTATTCTAGTACGAGTAGAATATTAGACCTGCTTTAGGTTTTCCGACCAGCAGGGGTTAGGGTTTCATGTCTGATTGCTCCAAGAAACATTTTGCGTGTTGTCGAAGTATTACCATTAAGTACATTTCGAAGCCATACTTTTACTTAAGTAAAGAAATTTAGTAATTTCCCCGCTTTGCTTTTATATAAATGAGCATCTGCTATGGGGAAACTACAATTTTTTACATATCCAGGGTCTGTTGAACTGGCTTCATCGTACAGGCCTCAGGACTTTATACTATTGGTCCCCAAAACAATACTACCAAGTCTTGCTTTGTAGAGATACCATAATGCATATACCTCAACAGTTGAGGCTCTCATCAGGCCTCACTGGAATAGTGGGAAACTACTGAAACACCACATCCAATGTAATACAGCAAAGCCCCATGATTGACTGTTTTTAATTTAGTAAATAAGGCTCAACTTTAAAATGAATTTAAGAGCTACCATACATGTGTTGCATTTTGTTCTTGTGTGATCCAAGTCAGTATTAGTTCAATGTAGATCAGCTTTTCTGACAATAAAAAACAAGTAACCCCATTATGGTTTGAATAAAAGTTGTTTGGAAAATGATTTGACTGAACCAAAATAATTACATTTGTCTACAATGTTAAGCATTTAAAAGTGGTAGTTTAAGTATTTGTGAATATCCAAAACTCATAAATTGAATCTTCTATGTCAATAACACTTAATGCCAAGTTTTTATCCAACAAGAAAAACGATCAGAAACGGTCAACTTTGGAGCATCCACATTTTTTTTATTAATAGAAAAGCTGTCCTTTAGTAGAGGCGCTGGGGTTTGCCCATGGTGCTCTTCACGTACAGGGCACGCACGTTCTGCCAGTTCTTCTTCAGCAGAGACACGAGGAAGTTGACAGCCAGGTGGATGTTGTACACGAGCTCATCCTCAGTCATCTTCACGTGACCGACAGCCACAGCCAGACAGAGAACCTACAGCAAAAAGTACACATTTCATTCAGTAACCCAACCTACATTTCCTCAACATGACTTCAGTGTTTAGGAGAGATTCAAAGTTAACAGCGAAGTGGCATTCATTTACTCTTATTTGAGCAGAGCTGAGCTTACCTTCTTCATCTGGAATTTGATGGTCGATTTGACCTCATCCACCTTGGTGTTCAGGTTCTCGTTGTGGGTGAGCAGGGAGGGGAACTTGCCGGCCTTGTTCAAACCAGGACCGAGGATACGAGGGATCTGCTTGATCAGAGACTCAGAGGCCAGGAAGGCATCGTACTTCTTGGCTACAGTGAGGAAGAAGGAAACGGTGTTCATTAAGTAAAGTATGACAAAAAAGCTTCAATCCACAGATTTAATGATCACAAATCATTTGTCTAACGGGCAATCATCTTACCAAGCTTCTTGACCATCTTCTTGTTCTTGTTCAGCTTCTTGAGAGCCTCGATGTCCATGTGTGGCAGCTCGGCTACTTTGGCCTCGTCGCAATGCTGCTGGTCTCCCAGGACGCACACGGAGAACTTGGGCCTGGGCAGAGTCTTCAGCCTGCAGATCAACAAAACCTTTAGACACCGAGCCGAATCCCACGTAAAACACGGGGGCATCAGTTGGAGGTAAGGCAGAGTAAGGTTGAGACAACTTCTGCAGAGGCTGCTTCGTGTGTGCCAACACCTCTACTGCAGACATCATGCTATGCATTTATCAACAAACTCTGGTTCCCAAACTCATTTTGTAGATGAATCGGAAACTATTAAGCATGATTGAAAACAACCTTTTTTAATATTTCCAAACGGAACTCAAATACTCTGCCAACCCCAAATGACACCTTCCTCATTTTACTTTGAAATAGAAAAAGGCTTACCCATACCACCTCAGTGATCGGTGTCCAGCTGACCTCTTTGGTTACATTAAAGTAAATTGGTCGGCATGAGTACCTGAACTTAAAAAGCTCAGCCACTCAAAGCCTCCCCTCATGTTTTAAGACCCAGGGTAGGGGTCCGTCTGCATCGCCTCCACCAGCCGAGGCCGGGTCAGCTCAGTCAGACTACCCAGAGTACTTCTCCATGTCTGATCCGGGCCTGTCTGGACTTTGTTGCCAACTTCTGATATTTCAGCCACTTGCCTTATATGCAAGGCTTTTCTTTATTTTTTATAAATACTCAGACAGGGCTGGAAGCACACAGGGAAAAGGTCGGGTGAAACAGGAAAAGGGTCGAACCTGACAGTGCCGGAGAAACGCTTGTCCTTCTGGGGATCATAGTTCTTCAAGCTGATCTGCAGCTCCACCGTCTCTGTGAACCTACAGACACACAGAGTTAGACATGCCATCCCACAAAACTACTAGTGGAAAAAACTAACTTTTGAAAAACGATGTCAACCCCATCCCATTATTGTTTGATTCTAGAAATGTATGAAAGATGTTATAATGCTATTGTCACACTTCATTGTAATCTTTAGGTATTTGGACTTTTAGTCAAAAATAACATTTTGTAAATGTAGCACTGAAGTTGTGACAGTGATGTTTTTATGTTTTAACTGAATGATCCTCAACCAGTTGTCAGGTTAGTAGATGATAAAGCTATTTGCAAAGTCATCCATAGATTGTCATCCATGTAATTCATCTCAAAGTAGAGGTTTTAACAACTTTTCAAAGATGTACTTACTTCCTCGACTTGGTCAGAGAGCTCGACAGAACTTCCTTCACCGCTTCGTACAACGTGTCCCTGGAGACCTTACTGTGAAATAAAACATTATAAATATTGTTAAAGCAAATGAAACTAGCGGAACATCTCCATGTACCCGGCTTCGTGAGTCTGTCTATGGCGGCGACTTTACATTCATGAAAACAGATCCATAGCTCTGAAAGACTTTATAAAATATTATCAAGGAGAGCTAATAGATACTTTCTATGATTAGTTATTTTCTAAAAATCGTTTTAGAGGAGTGGATGAAGGCGGATTGCATCTGAAACTAAGCGTGGTGTTTCTACAGCGGAAGATGAACCGGTCTCATTCCGCTTCACATCATTCTGAATAACTGAACTAAATTACACGACTTCCGCATAAGATAACAACACCGCATGATTATAAATGTGATACCGACCCGTTAACATGGGAATAACGTTTAAATTGTGACATTTATCCATAAAACTGGCTCTAACCTCATTTTTGCGACTCGTCCCTGTCGTCTCGCTGAGATGAAAAGGAAGTGTAGCGGGAAGTGACGCAAAATAAAGGCGCCCGTGTGCTGACGTCATCACAAAAAAAATCCTCTGACTAGCATTATTTTAGTGCAAAAACAGTCAATAAATACTACAATTATCTATCTAAAATAAACAACGACTTCGCATTAGAAAAATGTAATAGTCATTTATTTACTCTTTGTAATTCTTTTTTAAACCTATTTCTTTCTGAATTTAATTTGAATTAGAATGTCATGACAATGTTATAAAGTTTCAGGTCAAGTTAATTTAAATATAGCACATATTATTATACAGGATTAGTCTCAATGTGCTTTAAAAAGTAAACTATGGATTCAAATCTGTTCAAAGCTATTGAATTTCCAGCATCGAAAAAAATAGTGTATTGAAATTATGCATCAGAATTGTTTGCCTCTGAATTATTTTGTTTTAATAATAAAAAAATTAAATCGTTTTCCATAGAAATAGACATTGTATGATACGGTATTAATAATAGTAAGAAGATGAAGAACAATCAGAATTCCTTTATTTGTCCAGCAAAGGGCAAATTTACATTATTACACCAGCAGAAGATTAGTGGGGGGGACGACACTTCACCCTATATTGCTCGTGTTGGTATTGTCCCCAATGCTGCATGCATGTAAGTCACTTTGGATAAAAGAGTCTCATAAGTAACATGTAATGTAATTATTGCAGACAAAGTAAAGACTTACATAAAACATTTTATTAAATAAAACTAAGAATGCAGCATATTAATGATAAAAAAACACAATTAGTAAATAAAACAAATAGCATGGATTTCCACCATATTAAAAAAAAGTAGCAGTATATTTTTTAAACTACCAGTGGTCGTGGTGGTCTTACTGTAAGACGAAGAAGAAAAAGCTAATAAAATTCATTCTAAAATGATGATTAATAAAATATATGGAAAATGTTTTTTGTTTTTTTTAGACTTTGTTGATATCTTTCTCGTTTCAAACCGGTGGAATGAGTTGCTTCATTTTCAGGTCACAACCTGTCATGGTTAACATATTGACAAAAAAGTAGACAAGCTCTTATTCATATATTTTTATTAACAGGCATTAGGTCAGATGAAACCTCATGAGTTGGTGATTCTTTTCAAAGCAGCTTGGAGAGACTTTTTCAGGAAGGTCTCATTTACCATCAGGCAGCTGTGCAGGGACTGTTTGTGCTCAGCTGTCACCTGGAAAACAAATTGATACAGTTGCTAAAAGATGACATACAATTTCATCCACCGTTCAGTCTTTTTGCATGATACAAATGTACATAATACCTAACAGTGCTCAGTTAGTGTGTGTGTGTGTGTGTGTGTGTGTGTGTGTGTGTGTGTGTGTGTGTGTGTGTGTGTGTGTGTGTGTGTGTGTGTATGTCATAGTGAGGGTCTTTGGCAATGCCTTCTCTGTGTGAGTGTGCGCTTACGTGGGTGTCGTGTTGAGGGGGTGGGACTTTATATTGCATCTTTGTAGGTAGGTTTTTACTGGTGTGTGTACTGCACCTTGACAACGCAAATCTTCATATTTGGGATAATGAAGTTGGCATTGACAAACTTACATGACTGTTATATTTGGTGAGGACTGTTAGCATCATTTTCGCAAACTTCACAGACTTAGTGAATTTAGGACCCTGGCTGACAAGCTGTCCAGTAAACTGTGTGAACAGTTCTTCACTCAAGTCAAGCTGAAAACAAACGAAAAAAAACAGGCAATTCAATAACAAAGAATATTATGACTAAGTTGCATTGAAGCATTTTTAACATGAATAACAATCATCTTACCTTGGAGTCTAGCAAGCTGTGGATAATGGAGAGCACTGCCTCGCTCCACGTCATTTTAAATGTCATTCTGGAGGGTAAAAATTTAAAGTACTGCATCAAGCTTTTATGAATCTGTTATTTTGTTGTGCTCCTTTAACTTGTTACAGCAGTAAATACATCATTGTAATGTGTTTTCTTACTGGAGCACCAGCAGCCTGTAATGGGAGTCCAGGCAGCTTTCTACCAGTCTGTTCAGCAGCTCAGCCTGGGGATTCCCTGAAGACAAAGCAAAGGAGGAGTAATTCAAGTAAAAGTCATAATGTTGTGGTTCTCTTTTATAACTGATACCGGCACTTAGTTGTCGCTCAACCCTTTCCCCACCGATGGTCTTTTCCTCTAGAACTGGTCCAATCAGAGCGTGGCACATGGGTCTGGGGTAGCGGCTGCACAGTGACGTCCCCGCGGTGACGAGACATCGGGAGGCCGGTTCTGACAGGGACAGGATCTGCAGTCAAATGATATCCTGTCAGTGTCAAAAGAAACACGGAGACACACTTTTGCATCCTTTGTACATTCAGAGATGGACCTTCTGCAGCAGGAGGCTCTTGATGAGGGTTGCTGCCGTGCTGTAGCTGAAGTCAAAAGAGGGAGCCAAAATACTGCTGCAGAGTTTAGGCAGGGTCTGCTCCGGTAAGTCTGGAAAACGCAGCATGCTGCACAACAGCTCCACCTGAACGAGACAAGTGTGGGGTTTAGTTCTTTCTCCACCAATCAGCAAGCAAAGGTGTTATTTTCTTATATTATTTTTTTATGTTGTTCTAATTTTAGGGAATCTCTGGGACAAGATTTTTTTTCTCGGGATTAATAAAGTTGTATCCCAATTGGTCTCTTATTTGTTTCTTATATGGCTCTGATATACCTACTACCTCTGTACAAAATATCTTTAAATTGTTTAAGATTTTGACTCAATTATCATTTCTGACTGTATATGTATTGGTGTTGTGTATACAGTACTTTTGAATACAAATCTAATATGTTCGAGTGTAATACACCTGTGTACAATAATGGGGTGGATCAAATATTAAATTAATAAATTGCAATTTAACTAGAAGAACATTGTTTCGTTGAGAGGATTTAGAAATAATGGAGAAGATCATTAAAAAAAATGTTTCAGGACCAACATTTTTCTGTTGGTTTTTGATCCAGAACAATCAATGTCAAATGATTGATTTCTTTAGTAAGGATCAATTTAATAAGCAGGATAATGTACGTGCCTCCTCATTGCACTTTGGAGTCCTGTTCACACTGTCGGGTATATGTATTAAAATCTATAATACAAATATTGTGGTATTTACAGCTACAGAAGTATTTTTTGCAGGGGTAAAACATTAACAATACAAATGCGAATAACATACTTGGCCTGGGTCACAGTCATTGAGCACTTCAAACATCTCCATGGAGCTCTGGTCCCACTGTAAACAGATAATTACAAGTATTATAGTAAAGACCACATGTCCCTCTCAATCTATAATAACCCTGCTGGCTACAAAAGAAATACATTGATTCTTACCTCTGTCTGACTTTCCAGTAATTCTTTTATTTGAAGAACAGAGACCTTAGTAAACACAAAAATAGACCAAGTTTAGTTATTCCAACTAATTGTTACCTGTGTGAAAAAAATATAATGTTCTTATTAGTACACTGAATTAGATTATTACATTATATTAGATGTTACTTGTTAGACGCTTTTATCCAAAGCGACTTACATACTCAATAGTGTGGACAATCCCCACAGGAGCAATTTGGGGTGAAGTGTCTTGCCCAGGGACACAACGACATGCTGACTGCAGTGGGGTTTGAACCTGTGACCCCCTGATCCCAACACCAAGGCTCTACCCACTGTGCCACACGCCTCCTCAGATCTCTTTAGAAACTCTTAGCTTTGGAAATATTCACTAGGACTACTCAATATGTGATAACAAATTTGGTAAATATATAACATAATAGCAATAACAATATTACTTTTGATAAATAACAATTATTAAAGTGTACTCAGTTGTCCGTTTCTGCTGCTTTGAGTATACTGTTAATACAAATATATAAAAAAGGCATAATGTTTGGCTATGATTTTCATCTTGTACTATGCATGTGTTTACAGATTAGTTTAGCTTATTGGTTTAGTTGTCAGGGACCATGTACAAAAATAACATACATCTAAGAGAGATAAGATGCTTTGTACCAGATTATAGCAGTTTGCTAATTTCCATCTGCAGTCCCTGGGCAAGTGTGGTTAAGAAGTAACATTGTTTAAATGGGTGATATATTTCAGTATACAAGACAGGACAGATAAAGCCTGTATGCATGTGACAGACTCTACCTTTATATGTTCAGGCAGGACATCACTTGGACTTTCTGCTGCTGCTGGCGTCCTTTCTTCAGCAGGAGTTTCTGCTGGCGCATCATTTCCTAATCGTCCTGATAGCTCTGTTGTTGCGCTCTTTTCTTCATCATCTAGACTTTCACTACCACAGACTTCCACCTTTATCCGTTTACTTTCCTGTCCTGTGTCCTCACCATCAGAGTCAAGAGCGAGGAAGCTGCCCTTTCTTTTCCGTTGTGTCCTCAGCTCTGATGACCCAGAGGCCCTCTCACATTCAGATGTTTGACGGCTGAAGCACTTGGCCCATCCTCCAGTTTCATCAGAACCAACCAAACGCTGTGACAGCTCCTTGAGTCTCTGGCCGCAGTGTGGAGTGTAAAGGGGCTCCTCATTGTGGACCTCCAGGTTTCTTTCCAGCTGTCTTATCATAGCGGTCATCCAGGGACTTCTATGAGGGTCCTGGCTGAGGCATTTGAGAAGATGGAGGACAGGGGGGCAGGGAAGACTGAAGTAGACCAGATGGATGAAGGACAGCAGGTTTTTTTTTAATAATGTTGTAAACAGCCACACCAGGGGTCCACTACAGCAGGTGAGGAAAGAAATGGATGGGTATGTGTTTTAGAAAATATCAAAACACTTTTCCAGACATTATGTTTTGCACATACATATGTCTCTGTACCTCTTCCTTCCTATGTCCACGACGTGTCTCAAGTAATTGTCATGAGACCCTTTTCCATACTTTTGGCATATCGTTCTACATGGCTTGTCATTTAATTTATTCACCGAAAAAACCTGCAAAGACTTTCATTTCCTACTAATATTGACAATATTAATTATTTTGCTCTCATAGAACACAAAGAAGTGCTATGATGTTTCATGATACAGGGAGTGGATGAAATGTAATGCAAACCCAGAAATGTAGGACTTTGTTTTAACTCAGATTTGGCGTTGTGTTTCATATTACTGTTCTTACACGTGTTTTCTGCTTTACGGTCTGGTAAAATCTAGCAATACACAAGAGTTGATGATAAATTCTAGCAGGAAGACATTTCTTCATCGCTTTTTGTTTACAAAACAAGGCTGCCTCCTCTCGAATTACTTATAGTACTGGGTTAACAGCAAGTTAACGTTACATTAAATAACTGAAACCACTCTGCGGTGTTCTTTTACTTACACTGTCAGTGGCTGTCCTGTCCTATCTGGACCGCACACTTCGTCTTGGCACAGGGTTTCTATAAAGTTAGACAGCGACATGTCGGGGTTGGCTCTCTGCTGCCGGTGGAAGACCTCCAGCGCTCTGTGAGCCCCGGAGCTTCCACACAGCAAGGCCCGCACCAGCAGCTTCGACTGCCCGTCAAACCGACCCAGAAACATTGCCGGGTCCATACGTCTCGATACAGCCGGGGGTAAATGTTCATGCCTGTTGTCACCCGACATCTTGTTGACATTTGTTCTTCTCGAGTGTCATTTCTGTGCGTTTGTGCTACATATCGCCACCTAGCGGTAAAACTGGAGTCTAGCCATTAGGGAAAATTCACATGTCTTGTTATGGTGTTTATCGATACCCAATATTTGGTTTTGATCATTGAGGTTTCTGAGAGCCTACAGTCACGTTGTTATATTATAGACTTTTGCTTTAACAGTATTCAAATGGACTCCATGAGTAAATATTATAACTAAGAATACCTCACTTCTATATCAGTTTGAACATTTCTTAGAATTTGTGCTTGGTCAAAGCCAGAACACATTTTGAAACTTAAAAGTTCAATTGCTAGCACAAATGGGTTGATTCGACAACTTTATAACTGCGGGAATGTAAATGAAAGAGCACAACACACCTTTTTATTGAGACAAAGTGTGAAGCAATGTTTATTTTTTGTGTACAACTTGTTAAAAAAAAGTAATAAAATCTTAACATCTTTATATTCTTGCCAAAACTAGGACAAGGGTTCTTAAGGCATCAGCAGTGGACATTAGCAAGAAGGGGTATAACACTTTTATCTATAGAGAATTAAAACTACAATCCACACAACACTTTAAAATACCAAAAAAATGCACAATTCTAGAAGAGAAGTCAGGATTGAATACTCCCAATGTTCAGAGGTTAAGGATAAGTTAAACAATTATGCTACATGTTTGAAGCACTTTGGCCACAGGAGTGAAATCAATCCAAACTAGAAGGTCACAGATTAACCACAGGGTAATTAGACAGATTAAAGATGAGTCTGATAAGGGATGATTACATCTAGAGCAGTGGCAACAACCATGTGGCGTAGAGAGACAAGTGTCCATGTCCTCATTTGCAAACAGGGACTTCAGCAGGTGATTTTAAAGGCAAGTTCCTCTCTGGTTGAAGGAGTGCTAGTCAGTAAAATTCCTTGCTGTAGCCTGACTAATCAAAACCCCCAACAAACTGGGCTATCCATGGAGCATGGTTGACATCACAGATCTTGTTCAGAGCTACTCAAGAGGGGGTTTCCATACGGACAGAAGAGTCAAAACACAGCCCTGGGTTCTTCTTGGGACAGTTTTTGAATTATGACCCAGTCAGTGGTTTCAGGCACTGACAAATGAGAAACAGCTCATAAACCATACTCCTCAGATAGGTAGAAAGGAATGCCAATGTCGTCGTCCTCATCGTCGTCCTCATCATCATCGAGAAGAGTCATGGCTATGAAAAGGTTAAGCAGATCTACGCTGTCGTAGTCGTCTTCTTCTGGATAATACTGTTGAGCAAGAAACAAAAAATGGTAAGGGGAAAATAGACATATGGTGGTTACAATTTGAGAGCATAAAACTGAATATATTTACCGGAAATGATCCGTGATAGGCATGTTTGTCGTGCCGATAAAGGCACTCCGTTTTGAAGGGGCAGCATCCATATCGGGAGTAGTTACTGCATCTTTTTTTACTACAATTATAGGACAATACACATGGGAGGGGGGGCAACATTTCAAGCAATTTTGCAATAGACTTTCAATAGTAGACTGCATGAAAAATGCAAATATGAAATATAACAAGTTTAGAAGTTAAAGAATTGCATTCCTATTTTGTATAAAACATTGTGAACGTTCAGAGTTCATAATGGACAGAGTTCTGGCTTAACAATAGATACAAAATCCCAGCAATAAAACATGTTGGGATTAATCAAATTGCTTTACACCTCAAGGATGATCTTCGTCATTACCATTATGGATAGTGGTCCCAATTATTTATTAGTTGGGACATTTAAAAGTCACGTCTAGTTAGTAAGCACTTGACAGGAGTGTTAAAACTGAATCTCATTGCATACCTGAATTTCTCTTTGAAGGCAGCAATGACACCTTCCTTTGCTCGTCCTTCAACCCAGTGTCTGTGAGGCACATAGAAGGCAGACCTCACTCGGCACTGTGGGCAGCTCCTGGGGGATAATCATTAAACACGGTTGTCAAGTGAAATCCTTCATGTGTAATGAGATGCAATAAACTATTCCAAATATTACCAACACCTACTTAACCACATCTGGCCCGAGGTCTTTTGTTTTCCTCCAGGTCATAATGCATTGTAAACAGAAGGGGTGATCACAGTTTGGCAAGATTCCAAAAACATGGGTTCTTGGATCTGGCTTTTCATACACCTTGTCCATGCAGATGCCACAGGTCACGCTTTTACTCTGGAGGGAGGCTTCTATTGCCTCAATAATCCTCAGGGAATTAGAGGCTGCTGCAGCAGCAGCTGCACCATTGACTGCTGCTTCATTAGAAGAAATCTCCTGAATGCAAAAAGAATAGCAAGTTTAAGCCTTCTGGGTTTAACTTCTTCGGTCGCCAGGATGCACCTTGGAAAGATCATACTCATGTTAAGCAAACCTGCTCATTTCTTTCGTTACATGCTTGAGCATTTTCTGAACTCTGGACCGATTCCCAAGATGCAGAGAGAGGAGTGCGAGCATCTGTAAAAACAAATAAAAAAATAAAAAATAAAAGTATGGAGAAACGCTGACCAAGTCAGTCACCCATGAAAACAGCCATTACCTTGTGATTGTTCCTCGGCAATATCTGCTGCCACACGCTCGTTGTTCTGTTGAGGATATGACCTATGAACCAGCAACTGTGATTGGCTACTGGACGTCACCGCAGCCTGCAAAAGAGCTGGCTCTGACCCTCTTCTGTCAGGTGGAGTGTAAGACACACTGGAGGAGGAAACGGTAGGCATGGAACCTCTTCTAGGTGCAACAGCTGCATCAACTTCGGGGTAAAGGACATGGACGTACCTAGCGATGGAAAATATTGGATGAGCTACAGTAATCCGTGTGCATGACATCCTCCTTTTCATTTAGTTACATAAAATAGAATTGGGGAAAAATTATGAAAGCTTACCTACAGCGTTCACCATACCAGCATATACCTTTCTGAAAGTACCTACATATTTGAGCCGGCGGTATATATTCATGTCGATATATACAACTGGAACCAAATCTACATGTGCCATTTAAGAAACGCCTGTAATAAAAATAAAAGGTAGAGTAGTGAATTTCGAGCATGTAGCATCAAAAGCAGCATATTTTTATATAGCTGAGGCTAGGTTAATTCAGTGTATAAGCAGAATAATTTGGGTATTCAAAGTGTGAAGTAATAAAAACACCTCAATTGTATCTTTATTTTAGTGCAGGTTAAAACATAAGACTTCTGTTTTCAAGTCCCATAGCAGTCAAGTCAAATATGTGCCCGCAACTGACGTGTATGTGTTCTGTCTCTTTGCAAATGAAAATATCTGAATTAAAAATAAAATCAGGTGTTGTCAATAGGTTGTGTCCCTACCAGATTTCGCCAATCAGAACAAATGTTGCATGTTTCTTCCACTAAATGGTCTCTGATTTATAATAACACAACTTTAGGAGAAGCTGAAAGGTTATTTTAGGATTTTATAAAAAAAGGTGCATGTAACCTAGACATCAATTCATATGTAATGAGCACGGTGTGTTGAAGCAGCTTGGGTTAACTTTGAGTTGACTACAGAAACAAGTAACCCGAACCTTTGAGGATAAATACATGGAAGTCAACACTGGAGTGGTCATAAGAGGTCCTGCATGGTAGACCTCTATACACAAACCATGACAACTAAATCTCGCGATAGGCCTATTTTTAGGGAACTATTACTAGAAATGTGAAAAGGGGTGGGATAACTGCAAACACGTTGCCCCTTACTTTTTGTTTACGTGTATTCGGGAAATCTAGGGCAGCAGCTTCAAAAAGTCGTAATTACAAACTAATGATTCAGACAATGTTCAGAATACTTAATCACGGTAGAATCTCGTTGAATTTGAAGGCATTTAACAGTTTCGGCCAATATTTGAGCTGATTTCAAAGCCTAGCTAAACTAATCCTTAAATTTACACACACACCCATCACATTTATTAACATGGCTCTTCTTGCAAAACGCACTCAAACACCAACTTTGTTCGTTTTTTTCCCAAAGCGAGTTTTTGTAATCCTCAAATCGTTACTTATCCGCCATAACGTCCGCTTTCGAATGCAACACAACAGCGTTTAAAGACAGCACCAACAGGCTCTTTAGTAACGTTTCTCACCATCAGATAGACTACCTTTACATGTCATTTTACTGTAATGGCTTAAAACACCTGCCGCTTACCTACAGATACTTTCACCACGAGCTGCGTCCATCCTCCGTATGTTTTGAGCATGCCGCCAAACAGCGTCTCCTCACTATATAAATAGTTGACAGGTGGTTCCCTCCACCAATCAACTTAGCAACCAACCAATGGAAAGGTGACGCTGACGTAAGCACGTTTGTTACGTATTCCAACTTCCTTTTAGTCCCTTAAATTGTAATCATACAAGGGAGTACTTAAACAAGTAAATGAAGTTGATAAACTGCATGCATGTGTATTAGACAAATACTCAGAGATAGAATAAGTACTCAGATGTACTTAAAGTATCAACGGTTAAAGTACTCCTTATTCAGAATGGATTCTTTTGGACAGTTATCTACCATTATTCAGTTTATATTGCTAACAAATACACCTAGGAGCATTTTAATACTGAAGTTCGTCAACAAAACTGTTTATAATACTGGGTAATATTATGTAAAGTATCAAATACATTTAGTAGATTGATAAGTACTATATTTACCATTAGATGTAGTAGAGTAGAAGTATAGGGTGGCCTACAACGAAATATTCAAATAAAGTCTGTGAACTAAAGTATGGTACCGGGTAAATACACTTTGTCGGTCTGATGATAAAAAATTGAAAAAATCAGTGTTAATATTTCTAATACAATTTATAAGTGAAATGTAACTAAACTAATTCTGCAAGTATGTTACATGTGACTATGAGGGCAAAACTTATTCAAGTCTTAACATGTTTTTGTGAGCAAATATGTCAATCCATCACTCAAAACAGGCATAGAGGTAGCTTACATAAACTTTTTGGTGAACTTTCTTA